CTGCTACTGTGCCTTGTGGCTGAACTTTTGGTTTCATGCACTGACAGGTCCTTCTTATGGACTTCATCCAGACAGCTTTGCTCCAGATCCTAGGACCCTGCTTGATTAAATTCCCTTCAGAAACAGATTTTTGTCTTGTAAGAGGAAATATGAATAAATACATGTTTTAAGTGCACGTTACAAACTCTGTGAACAAATTCTGCATGGAAGATTTAAAAAGGTAATTTGCTCATCGAGAACTTACAAACCACCCCAATAAATAAAAAAGCACCAGGTTGGCAGGCTGGACTGTGAGAACGTGACTGGAGTAGGCGCTCTTCCCAGAAAAAGGTCCAGAAAGACCAGCGGACGAGGCCTCTGTCACACCAAGGACAGAAGGAGGGATTTTTCAGACCTGACCTTACACCTTTCACTAACTTTGGTCAGAAACCTTCCAAAATATACCAGGGGCATCTAGATTTAACCCGAATGTGTGGAAACCTTTGTCTCCTATTTCAGAGCCCCAACAGGTTGCTGTCTGCCAAAATACCAATGAACTTTTCTGTCTATTACCAAACATTAACTGACACTTTTACAGCATGATGGGTAAACTTGTGCCAACTTGATCATCGCTTCAATGTTTCCTATTTAATTAACTACAAAAGCTGGAAAGAGAATTTGAGAAATGACTTGCGCCTCAATTCTGCAATGTAATCATCACCATCGAAAGGGGCCCAGAAGAAGGGTAGGGGCCTTTGACTGAAAGTCACTTGATAGAGCCAGGTGGTCACCACCTCTTACTCTTAAGTACTGACCACATCTGGCCCGAGAGTTGCATAGACAGGGCCCTGCCCGAGGCTGCAGGTGGCAGGCAGCACTGCATGCTGGGCAAGGACCCACTGGTTCTGGGCTCAAATTGTATCTCGGCTACTTCCTAATTCCATTAACCCTGGGCAAGATCCTCGTCTTCTCTAGGCCTCAGCAGCTTCACCATAAAATGGAATGAAAAAAGTTCCTACCTAAAGGGTGTTAGGAGGAATTTAGATCATGCAGTTTAGGCATTTACAATATGCCCAGAACAAGTCATCATGTGATACACAGTGATTCCAATGACTACCACTGGAAATGAAACCCTGAATGCTAGTTTTTGATCTGCAGATCTTTCGTTTTTGTTCATTATTTTTTTCTCTTCGTAGCATCCTCTAAGCACAAGGGTATAGGTGTGGCAACCTGTCCAATTTCATGGGATTGCTGGCAGAGCCATGAACATTCAAAATCTGAGTTAGGTGTGTTGCCCAGGGCTGAAAATCACCAATTTGTTAAATGCACAGTATTAATAACCATCTCTGGAGTTACTGGTTAGCCTATTTTTTCTTTTTTAAGATGGAGTCTTGCTCTGTCACCCAGGCTGGAATGCAGTGGTGTGATCTCAGCTCACTGCAACCTCTGCTTCCCGGGTTCAAGTGATTCTCCTGCCTCAGCCTCCCACGTAGCTGGGACTATAGGCACACACTACCACGCCCAGCTAATTTTTGTATTTTTAGTAGAGACAGGGTTTCACCATGTTGGCCAGGCTGGTCTCAAACTCCTGACCTCAGATGATCCACCCGCCTTGGCCTCCCAAAGTGCTGGGATTACAGGCATGAGCCACTTGCATTTTTTAAATCCCATAAATATCTGATTGCTCATTCATTCATTGAAAAAACATTGGCTGAGCTGGAACTGTGTGTCTAATGTCATGAAAAATGCTGAAGATACTAAGATGAATAAGATGCAGGCTGGTCTCCAACTCCCTGGCCTCAAGTGATCCACCCACCTCAACCTCAAGAGATCCACCACCTCGGCTTCCCAAAGTGCTAGAATTACAGGCGTAAGCCACCATGCCCACCCTTATTTTTTCTTTAGTTTGTTGAATTTTTGGAGGCTAGAATGTAGTTAGATCCCCCCAAAAATCTGTAGTCAGTCTACAAAAATATTTTGTTGATATTAACAGGTGTCCAGGAAAACGTTCAGGAAGAGTGTAATATCAGATAAAATTGTATTAGTATTGCCTGCTCTCCACTGTTAGTTACACTGGCCATACAAATCAGTAATTGTTACCCTTTGAGATCACAGCATTTTCCCAGAGTGACTTCACAGAAATAAAGATTATGATTCAGTGGCGACATAGAGAGGATGTTCAACCTATAGAACAGGCTCTGACGTCTTCTCTGTCTCCTTTAAGTCGCTCAGGACTCTCAAAATTAGCCTAACTCTCACAGGCATACCAGCATTTAAAATTTACACACATGAACATGTCCTTCAGAGAGAAGCAGCCGAGGCCCATGGCGGCTGTGCTCTTTTAAGAGAAAAGACTGGCCACCAGACCTAAAAGCACAGTTCCTCTATCAGGTATCTCTCCACCTGCTAGGATTGTAGGCTTTACTTCCAGAAAAAACAGGAAGTTTTTCTGTCATTGCTTCCACTACAAACCCAACTACCTGATTATTTTTGAAGGTGAAGAAAATCACGCCTAAAGCATCAAAAGCCCTGAATGCCAAGGTCTTGCTTCAAATCAACGTCTCTTTTTGATCCAAAATGTAGAACATCACACGGTGTAATCTCACGTAACTCTAAACATGAATCTGGGTTGAAAAGTTCAGTATGATTCCCTCCTGGCATGACAGCAGCCTTGATTATTTTGGCTCCGCTTGGGAGACTCTTGTTTATTTGCTCATAAAACACGCGTGGAAGGATGACTGGTTTTTAAGGGTTTTTTCCACTAAATCACTGGAGAAATGGCAAATGATTTTTGTTTTGTTTTTATTTCAGCCACTGGTCAGGGATGATTAGCCCCAAATATCCAAAATCTGTCACTGAGTTACTTTTTGCCGGATGATATCTGAACCTCTCACCTACTTAAGTATTTCTTTCTTTTCCAGGTAAAGCTTTTATGAAATAATTGTATTTTTCTCTGGCTATCTAGTTCTTCTTCAAACTGGACATGTTTATTGATGTTTCCAAAATGCAAAGCAACAAAGAGAGAGGGTGAAGCTTCTGAAAATGTGTGGAAGGGACGTGTCACAAAAAGAATAAGGAAGCAGTCAGCAGAAAGGCGGCAGTCTGGAGCTCACCCTGTCAGCTGCTAGTATGCGAGGGCTTGTATCTACATATTCGAACCATCTTACGAAGCAGATCCCTGGTTCTCCCCCATTTTTTTTTTCTTGAGACAGAGTCTCACTCTGTCTCTCAGGCTGGAGTGCAGTGGCATGATCTCTGCTCATTGCAACCTCTGCCTTCCAGGTTCAAGTGGTTCTCATGCCTCAGCCTCCCAAGTAGTTGGGATTACAGACATGCACCACCACACCCAGCTAATTTTTGTATTTTCGGTAGAGACAGGGTTGCGCCATGTCGGCCAGGCTAGTCTTGCACTCCTGGCCTCAAGTGATCCGCCCACTTTGGCCTCCCAAAGCGCTGGGATTACAGGCGTTGAGCCTATGCGCCTGGCCTGGTGCTCCCCATTTTGTAGGTGTGGAACTGTGCACAGAAGATTCAAGTAGCTGACCCAAGGCCACACAGCAAATGAGACACAGAGCCCGGGCTGGAACTGGGCAGGCTACTGGCTTAGCTCTCCTGCTTGGCCTGTTAAATATATGAAAAGGGACTGTGAAAGGTCACCAGGTACAGTGGGACACGCAGAAGGAACAGAGGAAGACACGCAACTTTTAGAACAGCCAGGTCAGCTATTTTTGCTTATGGTATTTCAAAGGTTTGGCACAATACCACTGCTGAGTTTCATTTCTTTTACATTCGGCACAGCATCTGCCCTGACACAGGACTAAAGACACAGGACTGCTGCACAGTTTCAGGGGCTGGTGCTATACAACTTTTGTCTCTGCTCAGGGCAGAGGTCTCTTTTGCCACAAGATGGAAACCATCCCTCAACTGTCACTAAATCCCTAGGAACAGAAAGTGATAGTGCAGACTTCTGATTCCTGTCTTTCCTAAGAATGATGTGATCAGAGAGAGAAAGAGAAGGAACACATGTTGAATGTGCTAGAATGATCCAACAGCAGGCATGCCCTAAGTCAATCAGTCAGCAGCAATATGCTGATATTAACAACCAGAGAGGAGAGCGGCAAAAATCCCCACAGAGCACAAGGCAACGAGAGTGGAAAAGAGATAGGAAAACGCCATGAACTGATGTGGTGCCCATTCAGTTGGGAATCCCAAAGGACCTCATTTTGTACCCAGTTCCGTGGCATTCATGATGACAGCCACATGAGAGGTTTCTCTGGCCTGTTTTAGCAACTCTTTGCAGGTGAAGGGATCAGAGAGCTCAGAGCTATGGATGGGCTCCCAGTGTGTCCTTCAGCGGTCCAGGATGAAAGAAGGGTCTGCTGAGAAGTGCAGGCCAGGGTTCACCACGCTTAACCGTGGGGCAGTCGGCACAAGTGACCGGTGGCCTCTGCTGAACCACACTGTGCCATCCCGCTGTTCCGTGTGGTGAACACGTTCCCCACTGGAAGGAAACAATACCAATTCTGTCCTTCTCTCATTAAAGGAAAAGAGCCCACAATCTTCCAAGGACTTTGTGCTTTTATGTGCCCATTTATCTAGGAACCAACTCTCATTCTCTAATGTACACATTCATTCATCAAATATTGACTGAGCACAGCACCTGCTCCGAGTTACTCACCGTGGGGCAAACCGACAAGAGAAAGAGAGCACCGCCCTTAAGAAAGGTCCAGTACTGGTAGGCAGGTGGGTGGTTAGATATGGGCACTAATAACTAGAATACAGAAAGTGTCCTTAAGACACTAAGCACAGGAGTCCTGGCAAGGCCCTTACTCAGTGCTTGTGGACACAGATCACATCAGGTAGAGGGAAGAAGCTCCGAAAGCATATGTGCAGGGTCCACAACCATAGGAGGGGGCTCAACAGACAGACTTCAGTGGTGGATCAGAGCTTCAGCACAAACCACAGAGAAGCCCGGGTTTCTTGGGGGAGCACCGGGGACCCCAGAGGCCTGAAGCAGGTACCTTGCAGTCACAGCCGATGGGCTTCCCACACTCCTCACAGGTGTTGGCGTATTGGGTCTCGAAGCATGCCACGCAGTAGGGATTGTCCTCCCGCAGGATGTACTTCTTGCCAAAGAGAGATTCGTTGCAATGGTGGCAGTCAAAGCGCTCGGTCATTCTGACACTTGGCTTTTCAGCAACCTACCAAAAAGAAGAGAAAATCCAGTTCCTGTTGAGCACTCTCTGAAGCGGGTGCACGCAAAGGCATTAACCGTCCTGCCGTCTGTCATTTTAGCTGAAACGTGACTAATTCCTCCGGGTGAATAATTAAAACTCACCCTTTACAAGGTCATAATTTTCAGTGACAATACCCCCGTTTTTTTTTTAATTAGCTGGGGTAATTTTGTGTTTGAATGCATTCCACTTCTTTTTTTTTTTTTGGAGATGCAGTCTCATTCTTTTGCCCGGGCCGGAGTGCAGTGGCGCAATGTCAGCTCACTGCAGCCTTCGCCTCCTGGGTTCAAGCCATTCTCCTGCCTCAGCCTCCTGAGTAGTTGAGATTACAGGCGCACACCACCACGCCCAGATAATTTTTGTATTTTTTAGTAGAGATGGGGTTTCACCATGTTGGCCAGACTGGTCTCAAACTCCTGACCTCAGGTGATCTGCCTGCCTGCCTCGGCCTCCAAAAGTATTGGGATTACAGGCATGAGCCACTGCACCCAACCACATTCCATTTCTTGAAAAGCACAAATTATTTTTGACTGTGTCAGAAAAAGCTATCTCAGTTTTAAATACAGGTAAGAGCTGGAGCTAGAACCCCCATTCTGCCTAGCTGTGACCCGGCCTTGCATCTTCCCCTTCTCCCTGCCCCCAAAATAGAAAGGCAGGCATAGAAATAACATGTCCATTGCTATAAAAAGATTTTCCATGAGCTCCTCTTTATGATTCATGATTTGAATAGAAGAAACCACAGTGGCAAAAGGGAGGGAGATCTGACTTGGGAAACCTGAGATTAGATCCTATGAGGGCACTCTTACCTTGGCCTCGGTATTGCATTGGGAAGTGCAATCTGACCTTGCACAAGAAAAACTGCCAAAGTCCCTGAGGATGAATCATTGCTCCCTGTGGGAAAGATTACCCTGCAGCTGCCCAGGAAAGCAGGATAAAGGGAAATGCTCACTTCCCAGAGCAACGATATCAGTTAGAAACGCAGTGGCTGCAGTTAATGACTCTCTGGGCAACAGGAAAGAGCTCTTCCAATAAGAACAAGACACTTTTCTCTGCGAGGTTGCAGAGAAAAGGGAACACTTATACACTGTGGGTGCGAGTGTAAATCAGTTCAACCATTGTGGAAAGCAGGATGGTGATTCCTCAAAGAGCTAAAAGCAGAGCTACCATTTGACCTGGCAATCCCATTTATAGAAATACAAATCGTTCTGCCACGAAGACACATGTACATGAATGTTCACTGCAGCCCTCTTCACAATACGGAAGACATGGAATCAACCTAAATGCCCATCAATGACAGACTGGATAAAGAAAATGTGTTACATATACACCACGGAATACTATGCAGTCACAAAAAAGAATGAGAGCATGTCTTTTGTGGGAACATGGATGGAGCTGGAGGCCATTATCCTTAGCAAACTAATGCAGGAACAGAAAACCAAATACTGCATGTTCTCACGTGGAAATGGGGGCTAAATGATGAGAATACATGGACACAAAGAGGGGAACAGACACTGGGGTCTACTTGAGCAGGGAGGGAGGATGGGAGGAGAGAGAGGGGCAAAAAAGATAACAATTGGGTGCCAGGCTTAATACCTGGGTGATGAAATAATACGTATAACAAACCGTGTGACACGGGTTTACCTGTATAACAAACCTGCCCAGGTACCCTGAACCTAAAATAAAAGTTTAAAAAAATGCATCTCCACGCCCAGCACAATCCATTTTCTAGGATGAATACATGGCATGAATAAGCAGCAAGGGACGGGCCCCTCCTCTATGACCATTCCTATAAAATCGTGTTAGAACGATCCTGGAGAGAAAAAGCCTACCACAGGAATAGCTGCGGTGGAGAAACGTCCGCAGGGCATTAAAAACACAGACAATTTTCTTCAGGAATAAATGGCAATATTCCATTGGCTAAAAGTGGAAAGTTTTCTCTGTTGTTAAATAGGCACACTGGGCTGGGCATGGTCATTCATGCCTGTAATCTCAGCACTTTGGATGGCCATGAAGGGTGGATCACCTCAGGTCAGGAGTACGAGACCAGCCTGGCCAACATGGTGAAACCGCATCTGTACTAAAAATACAAAAGAAAAATAAATGAGCCAGGCATGGTGGCACACGCCTGTAGTCCCAACTACTTGGGAGGGTGAGGCAGGAAAATCACTTGAACCAAGGAGGTGGAGGTTGTAGTGAGCTGAGATTGCACCAACACACTCCAGCCTGGGCAACAGAACGAGACTCTGTCTCTAAAAAAGGAAATAGGTACACTGGTTGGCTATGCAACTCTGAGCAAGGTTTCACAGACTCTAAGAAAACTTGATTCAATTTGCAGTTTTCAAACGATAGGAGAGTGAAATCCCAGAATCAGACCTTCTGATGCAAATAAAATATTGTTGCCTGGTTTATGGTTATAGTAAATTTGATAATGTTTATTATTTTTGTACTATTGAGTATACATGGTACTGACGACTATAAGCAAAGAAAGGATCATCTTTCAAGTAACCATTCTTGGATATTTCTGTGTATACAGAATAATTCTCTTCCAAGGGCAATAAATACGCAGCTGGACACATGTGGCAAGATCCGACCTTCTAAATCACTCTTCCTGGAGTTAAAGAAAACATTGTCTGGACATTCTTGTGATAACATCACAAGATGAGGCTCTTGAGCACTTATTCTGAAACCCAACATATAAATATTCTTTGTACCGAGGCCATCTCTGATTGCAGCAGCCGCGCTGGCGTAAGATTCAATGCTTTCCTGTAATTGTTCAGTTATTGGCCTTGAAAGTGGCTGTCATTTATTTCAACGCAATTGAGAGCTGTTTTTTCAACATATGTATTTTTTTCAATAAAGGGTGCCATTTAGCTGTGGGACAAGAGGCTCATTGCTCATTCTGCACCCACAAACATAAGAATAATAATTTGGGAATTTGAAATAAGAACCATGAAAGGACAGAGAACTATGAATTGTGGAATTGTAAAAGCTGGAAACAAATCCCCAGATTATCTATGACAACTTCCTCATTCTATGGATGGAAAAACTGAAGCCCAGGCATATTTATGAAAAAGAGGGTCCAATGAGCTTTCTCAAATAGCCATCTGACTTAGAGAAAATGAACTCCCAATCTAACTCAAAAGGCCCAGCTGGGGAACGGAGATGGTCTACATCCTCTGTCAATCGCGGCAGAGCTCCGTTTCTGTTGGCAGCTGGTGAAAGGGGTACATGTTTTCCTCTGAGGTAAGAATCATGATCATGATACTCGTATAGCTGCTGTGTGTTTTCTACCTCCTCTGATTCTACAGGACCAAGACAGAAAAAAAACATTAAAGGAGTAAACTCTGAAAATAAGTAGGGTTCCACATTTCCTCAAAGTACAATTGAAATTATGAATGTCATCATGATGAATGTCATCATCAGTGATGTGATGAATGTGACACCAGCTCCCAGCAGGAACAGTAGCAGCTGCTATCTGCTCAGTGGGTCCACCTGGGAGGAGGCACTTGGCCCTGCGGTTCAGCTCCCAATTCTACAGAACTATTTCTGAGAGTGGTGGATCCCTCTTCTACCGTGTTGCTTAACTTCTAATAACTCATTAGAGTTCTACAATGAACAGAGAGCATTTCTACTCAAACCAATAGGGCAGCATAAAATGAGCACCCGCTGCTACCTAGGAGCACAGCAGGACCCACCGTTTCAAAGCAGGCCCCTGAAGGAATTCTACACAGCTACATACAGCACAAACTCCAAGCATCAGAGTAACAGTCCGTAAGATAATAAGCAAGCTCAGAATTTCCCTTCTATTACAATGTGTTTAAAAGTATGCCTATTGTCCTACATTAGAAATCTTCTATAATTTGCTCTTTTTTTTTGAGACGGAGTCTTGCTCTGTCGCCCAGGCTGGAGTGCAGTGGCATGATCTCAGCTCACTGCAGCCTCCGCCTCCCGGATTTCAGTGATTCTCCTAGCCTCCAGGATAGCTAGGATTACAGGCAGGCACCACCACGCCCAGCTAATTTTTGAAACTTTTTTTTAGTAGAGATGGAGTTTCACCATGTTGGCCAGGCTGGTCTCCAATTCCTGTCCTTAAGTGATCTGCCCACCTTGGCCTCTCAAAGTGCTGGGATTACAGGCACAAGCCACTTGCATTTTTCAAGTCCCATGAATACCTGATTGCTCATTCATTCATTGACGAACCATTGGCTGAGCTGGAACTATGTATCTAATGTCATGAAAAGTGCTGAAGATGCAAAGATGAATAAGATGCAGGCCCCTCCCCTCAAGGAACTTGTTATCTAGTAAGGAAAAGACATATAGACCAAACAGATTGCCAAGCCCCATACCCAAGGCGTGCTGGAGGTGTACAGGTATGATGGGCACACAGAGGAGGAGCCCCTGAGAGAGTAGGCGGGTGTTCCAGAGAAGATACTACCTGTGCTGGGAAAAGGTCAACCAGGTGATATGGCAGGTTAGGTCAAGGGGTAGGGTAGGCAAATCCAGAGAAATGACAGAGTAGGGTAGGCAGAGAGCCCAGGAAGATGGAAGACCCAGTCAACAGCCAAGGCAATGAGGGCCTGGGTGCCTTGTTCATGGACTTGGATGTGCCTTGCGGGCAGCCAGGAGACAGACAGCCCAGTGAAAGTTTACTGCATGGAAGCCTGCCTTTACTCTGCAAAACTGGGAGCAGTGACTCCTAAACAATGTATCAGGGTATCAGAGCCCATTTCTGAATCATTTCTTCAAATAAAAGTAGGACATCTTGGTTCTATAAAAACTTGTTAACCTAATTGTGTACAATCCATTTGCTCTCTCTGAACTCCACATCCCTCCTGACAGGTTATCAATAATTCCTGCCCCTTAGCTGGTACACAGGAATGCTGAAAGCATCAGGCAACAGCTTGCAGGGAGTTACCCAAACGTAAGGGGCAACTCCTCCTTATTTCATTGAATCAAATTCCAAATCA